ATTCAGAGGCTGAACAATATAAATCACAGCTGGAGCTGCATTTATATCTCTATGAATGGATATTTTGACAACTTGTCTATTTCCAGTGGCACATGATAGGAGGCTCCATGTGCTCCGCAGTGCAAATAGAGGGGTATCTTTTAAAAGCCGCATCCCCATAAAACACTATTTTTTACACACTCGCTCCTTGGCTTGTCAGGTGCAAATCATATTTTCACTCAAGTATGAAGAGGTCACTTGGATACAGCCCTGCTGATGAGTCGACATGTTGTCGGCTGCGAGCCGACAACAACTGTGTGCCAGTGTACATAAACAGACAGCGGGCTCTTTTTGACTCACACCCCACTGACCTGGATCCACGAATGTTTCCTGTCACTCCGGCTCACACGTGTCCCGGGAGTGATGAATGTATTAACACCAGCCTCCTTTCCAGAGGAAAAAACCCGGGGCGCTGCTCGTCGTGCCTCTGCCACATTCTGTCAAAATCCTTTGGAGCAGACGTATAGTAGATAGAAACACTTTTCTAACCAGGTTTGGGTCGCAGCAAGTCAGCATAAAATGGTTCTGAGAGATTGCCTTAATCATAGATGACACATTTCTGTCTCGATGGATGAGGAATTGTTACATACGTTTTTTATTTATTACGTAGTCGTCATTATGTTGTCTGCTAGATATATCTTTAATGTGTATATTCAGTTAGGAGGTATTGTATGATTATTCTAAAGGCATAGAAATACTGTCTATTTGCCTAATTACCCAGCGACTAGAGTTTTAATGACATTCCTGTGGTCCAATCAAAAATGGAAACCAGTCAAAATGATCAAAACAGGGTTAGCCAAAGATATATTAGAAAACGTTGTAATATTACTTTCAAAATTCTTGTAACACAGCCCTAGAGAGCACTGAGGATAAACAACACACCTCAACCCCTGGCAATTTGAAAGGATTTAAGCAGGTTAAACAGTGTGTTGAGATACTACATTTATCTCCCAAATACCATAATCATCACAGATGACCTTTGAATGAGAAGCTCTCCATGTTATTGTGTTCTTACTTTCGTTCGGTGTACCTTTGTGCTCTTGCTCATGATGCAAGCACAAGATCTTTTGTCCGTGTGTGCTCTTCTGATCCATCCAGAGGTAGATTTCTGTCACAGTGTGTCACCATGTGCCCCTCATGGGGCTTTTGATGGGGGAAAATTTTTATTTGTCCAATAATGTTTGTGCTCTCGACTGGGACTTAGATGGAAACCATTATATTTTCACACAGTAATTTCCACTGAGAAGTGATTCTCAAAGGTGTTAAAGAGAGGTAGCTCTTGACTTGAGTTTCAAGTTGTTGGATAAAGAACATTTATTTGCATTAAACTATGCTAAAAAAGACAACAAAATGGAATTTTTTGGTGCTAATCAAGTAAAAGTAAGAATGCAGTAGAAAAATCAATTTACCGTATCAACAAAGAATTTCTTGTTTAAAAACCTCCTTACTGTAACAAATAGAATATCAACCAACAGTAAAATGTTATAGAAATAATAAAGTCTTTGAATATTTAGGGATCTGTAGCAATATGAATTGTAGCCCATGTAAACATGGTCACCAATCCAAATTTGGCAAAAGTTGCCAAAGCAAAACTGCGTCTCACTTGATCGAACACTGTCATCGTTCTTTTTATGCTTAAATGTTATTCACATAACTCACTGTACAATGCTAATCAGATAAATCCATGTTTACTTTTGAACAAATCCTTCCCGTGTAAAACAATAATGCTGTTATTCACATTATTCATTTCAGCTTGAATGGCTTCGGTGACACATGCAAATACAGATTGTTTTCTCTTTTTTTTTGGCTTCATCTGTCATAATGAAGATAACTTACTGTTGGAATATTTTGACAGCGATAATGATTACTCATTCAGCAGCTCATTCACAGCTGCTAACATTAGCATTGCAAATTTGTTATCATCTAAACTGTGCTGTGATTCTGACCTGCTCGCTGACCCTCCTTTTACCTCATCATAAGGAGCATTCACAGGTCATTGGATTCCTTTTTTTTGGCCCGGACTCACTCTCGCTGTTGGTATTTTTTGTGTTGCTCGGCTTGATTGGTGCCAAATAATTCAACACAATTAGGAATCCATCATGTTCAGGGCAAGATCCTGTCAGTTCTACTTGGGTTTTAATCATAATGTTGTGCAAACTCTAATCTCTTAAAAGCATAGCTCACAAACACGATAGTAAATGTTAATACATATGCATACATATATATGTACTTATATATAAATATTAGTATTTTCCTTATCAAAAATATAATGAGCCTTTTTGTACAAACTGCTGAATTTCTTCCTACAGTTTAGGTACTTTTTGCTCCAACAGTTACAGCCATCACTCTGAAATGACGGTGTCATATCATTGACTCTGTGCCCCTGCCATCCCTCTGCTCAACCCTCTCGTCCCTCATCTCCCCCATTTCCCTTCCTGTCTCTCATCTTTCTCTTTCGGATCTGTGGGGAAGAGTAATGAATGGTTTCTGTGCTTTGATTGGATGATATGCTTTGTTATTAGGTGGGATGAAAGCGAGCATAACTCAAAGGGTATGAATTGGCGAACGGGAAAGCGAATAGAAAAAGAGAAAGAGAATAGAGACTATAGCTGAAATGTTTTGACAAGCACCTTTGAAGGAGAGAGGACCGGGACTGCTGCAGATGCCTTCATGTAACAACGGGAGTAGGTCACAGTTTCACTGATGTTTCAACCCTGGCACCGCTCCTCTGAGAAATGGTTCTAAAGATCTCATCCCTGCCTCCCTTGCCACTCTCTGCCTCTCTGTGCTAGTATAAGGGGGAAAAAAAAAAAGGCATATTGCGCAGTGCCCTAGGTCATTCCCTGGGGAGTATGCATGAGGGTATGGGAGGAGTTTGCAGAGAGGGGAATCCTAGATGGCCCACAGCTCTCAAGAGGCTTCATATTGAGCTTTTCCCTCGGTGTTTCATCTTTCCTTTTAAAGCTGCACTGAAGGAGACTGGTTGGTTCACTGACCGTACTAAATGACTGCGCTTTGAGCCATGTTCGAGGACCGGCAGGATTCTCCTTTCCTTGCAGATGACGCTGTTGTTCTCTTAAATGGCCACGCAGCAAACTGCAGGGAGTCCCCGTCCACCCTCTCCTCCAGTCATTTTTTTTTTTTTTTTTAGAGAAAGGCATACTACTTGCAGGCACCGCCTTAACATAGGTGAAAGAAGCAGAGTTGGCAAAAAATGTTTGTTTATCTTAAAAAGTGAATGTTGGCACAATTCAAAGCACTGATCATTTCTTTAGACTATAGCCATTAATGTTTTTTAAGACCAAATGCCTTCATTATCTTAAAGAAAAAATGTACAACATAAATATCTAATTCGTCTGGTTAAGTTTTGATAATTATTCATGATTAGATTTTATCATAGTCATGATCTTAAAGACTAAGAATATCCTGTTCTGTCAAAGGTCGTCTTATGTAATAAAAATGCTATATTGGTGTTGCTAAGTAGCATGCATGCAAAATAAATGTGTGAGGCTGTGTGCTGTGTGTCTTAGAAGGAGCGTGCCTGAAACGAGTCACATTAAAAGTCTACCAGTGCAAGAAAAAAAAAGTTTAAAGTTTAAAAAGCATTGGATTGTAAAGTCTATTTCTACTATTTTTAACCAGAGCCTTCAAGTGTCATTTCTAGTTCCTGAAAATCAGCTACCTCTCCCATCTAGACATTAATAATTACTGCTACATTTCCAGCTTGTCTGTGCTGGATAAAGTGTTTTTAAAGTATTTGAATCTTTTATAAATTCCAAGCGAAAAAGTTTCCATATGATAATACTTTTTCTTTCTTTGTTTTAACCATTATTGAGGTCAAGCTAGAGTCCTATTGCAGAGGCTAGTTACTTTATCACTATAAGTACATAGAATTGGCCCTAAGGCCCGAATCTCTTTAGATCACAGACTGCTAATGTACACTTACCTTAGTGTCATCGCTCCACGTGAAGCAATTATCAAACAGAAAGAATTCAGTGTCTCTGCAGATTTGAATATATCTGCTGCTCTGACAGCAACCAAAAAGACTCATAAGGATCTATCTCTTGACCTACTTTTGTTTCATACATGAAGAACTGGGTCAGGGAACAAATCCAACCAATAAAAATTGATATGCTGATAACATAATCATTTATTCGGGGGCATTCTTGTGACCCTCTTTGAATCGAGTGGAGGAGGATGATTTTCAATCCTCACAGCTTCAAAGGTTGGAATGAAAATTTACCCTCTGTCAAAAAAAAAGGGGGGGGGGGTGCTGCGGTATGATGTTATATTAGATGCATAAGATAATTTGCCAGATATGGCTATATATATATATATATACATAGAAAATATAACTATAAAAAATATAACTATAGAGAGAAAGTTTCTCATTGTGTTCCAGCAACAAAGAGCTCACCTGTATTTTTTGCCAGTGATGTCATCAGTTCAGATGTTGCTGTTCATCCACAATTTATACTTAAACCACGAAATTTACTTTATATTCAGTCACATTAAATTAATATAATTTGGTTCATTTAAATTTGAAATAGGTGAAACACCTTTTTTTAATAGATGCATGTTTTCATTCAAAGCGGAGCTTTTAATGAATTTGTGGAAATCGACACAAAATATGTTGACCGACATTGGTTTTCAGAAGTGTTCTTCAGGGATTTCCTCTACTAAATAATGCCTGCTTCCGATGCTGTGCAACAGAATGGGACATTTAATGATTCTCTGCTCTCTGTGGAACAACGTAAATAAATGTGCTCTGTATTGTAGTATATGAAATTTTTCAAATCTTATGTTTACTGTTTCATTATTAATCATTACACTCCTCTGTGTCTTTATTAAAGCTAAAATATGGAACTTGGGCCCTTCTCAGGTTCTGTAATTTACCGAATTTTAGCCTCTGGCACAAGCACCATTCATATGTGGTTTTACTTTTCTGTGCTTTCTTGCAGAGCCACAGCTGAAAGGCATTGTTACTCGGTTATACAGTCAGCATGGATACTACCTGCAAATGCAGCCTGACGGAACCGTTGGCAGCACAAAAGATGAAAGCAGCTCATTTTGTGAGTGTGTTTTTTTGACTTTTTTTATCTATAACCTGTGTGTTTATATTGTTTATGTTTTATCCTGTTTATTCTGTTTGCCCTGAACCCACATTTTCCGAACTGAATGCATGCACGATAACAAATTCAGGTTACACCTGCTGTTTTAGCCAATGTACAGATGAAGAAGTGCAGATGAGCCCCAGCCTTCATTTGGAGCCAAATCTCCAATTCTGGCAATGTAAATGCTGCACAGTGTGCAGTGAACTAAATGGAATTGTGGCAGGAGCCAGAGTGTGCTATAGGATGAGGACTTTGGGAAGAACTTTGAGTTTTTTGTCAGCTTACCTGTCATGTTTGCCTAAATTAGCAGCTATTTTTGTATTTAAGTAGGAAGGAACATCATGTAAAACTGTCTGTCAAATTTCATCAGCTTTTCTGTTCCCTCACTAAAGTATAGAAATGATAACATCACAGAAGCTGACTGATTGGATCTTCAACTCAATATATTAAAAGTTTTAACCATAAAAACAGTGATTTTGTCAACTTTGAGATAGGTGTTGACCAGCATGAATTATATACTGTTCAGACATGTTCATTATTGTTAATAAATATAGTAGAAGTTTTAATCAGCCCACATGCTGTAGATCCCTGAATTTTCCTTCCTTGCCTTAAACTGCATTTGGAATGAAAAAACATTTCAGTTGTCCATATTTTGATTCTTTTTTATCGCACACTAAATGTGACAAAATGGGGTCCTTCCATAAAAATGAGCGCTCAGAGGTTGCAGCATCAGGGCTTATGGATCGTGCAGCTTTTATTCTCGAGCCATTCAGGCTGCAACAATTAAACAGAATGTGTTGCTATGCAGTGATTCAGATTTTTTAAGCTTCTTGAGTTTTTCTTATTTGCCTCTCTTTTTGTCCTGCTCACCATGTATCCTACTTTATCCCCTGATTTAGCACAGTTCAACTTAATTCCGGTGGGACTGCGGATTGTGGCAATTCAAGGGACAAAAACAGGGTTGTACCTCGCCATGAACAGCGATGGATACCTCTATACCTCAGTAAGCATGTCCTACGAATGAGCCGATTCATTGAAAAGATCCATCTGAATAAGATATTCATAACAAATATCATACATTGAGTAGACGCATGTTTCTTCTGGCTTTTGGTTTGATATGTTCCAGGTTGTGTTTCGCAGTATTGAGAGCACTGACAATTTAAACAAATGGCACTGATATAAGTCTCACAAACAGCTGGAATTTTTTTTTTTTAATGATCTTTTTTAACTGAAAAGTGATGCATCCCTCACATAAAAAATGTTGGAGTTGTTTATCTCCCCACAACACATCTCGAACCACAAAAAGATGACACTCACTTAAAGTGTCTGTTCTTTGTTTCCTGTCTTATTGTGGCATTTTATCTTATCTCTTAATTGCATATTCCTGTCGTGGCATTTTGGTGACATCTGTTTTGCCATATAAAAGTTCATTTGGAAAACAAAAAAAGCTCCCAGTGGTGAATTGCCCCTGCTCCAGGGGATCCGAGTTATTGTTATTGTGGCACAAAGAAATAGCATGAGGCAGTTGGTTTTTTTGTGGTGTTTTGACTGACAGCAGTTGACTCAGTTTACTCAGTGTTTGGGGCTCACATCTGTCGGAGAAGTTATTGCCTGTTCACATCACAGGTTAAGAGCAAGAACACAGATCAAGGCTTTATCATCTGCTGTCACTTTGGATTTAAAGGTTCAACTGACTGTCAGTTAGACTTCAGTTTTTGTCTCCCTTTTCGGGACACAAGAGATGAAGAATTACTGGTTTAAGATAAGTTGTGCTGTTTCTAATCCACGTATATTTAAAGTTTGTCATGGGCCTATTGGAAAACTTTTAGACCAAGGGTAAATGGGTAATGTGTGTTAGTCAAGGCAATTTTTTATTTTTACCATTCTTTAAGATATTGCCACAAATGTTTTGAATGTTTCGATACTGATATCAGTGACCAGTCTCCAACAGGAAATATATTTTCACGCCGATAGCTATGATTTGAAATGTCAGATCAGTGATTACCTACCATTGCTACTCTTGCTTTGTATTTATGACACAGTGAGTCACACTCAATCACCCATGCACTCATTTGTTACGTGACAAAAGTGAAATATCAGAGGGAAGACATTTTTTGAGCTGTCAGAAAAAACTTGCATGTCAAAGATGAGAGAGCTCTCTAATGAGGGTAAATGCCGCTCGCTGTTGGAAGTTTAAAAATGAAAGATTTATGTAAAAACAAATGACACAAGTTTCAGCATCCGTGCATGGAAGAGTTCGACTTTGAATAATAGCACAGTTCCACAACAATTCCGCTCTTTTCTGAGTAGGACTTTGTGTCTGACTTCTGTAAACAGGAAGAAGCTGGGATTTCCTTAGAAATAGTCAATATCTGCATTGTGTCCCAAACTGACCCCTCGTTGAGAATTCCCTCTGTCACACACAGACACAGCTACAGCACTTCTTTTATAGATGATCAACAACAAAACAGCAGTACTCTTGTGTATCACTATTTTCCGCTGTGCAACTGATACACTGTCTTTTGTATTTTTATTTTATCCAAGACAAACATGACATGAAAGTGGCACAGCTATGCCTTCTCCTCTGTGAAAAATGAGCTCATATGTGCCACTGTGACTGAGAGAGTGATTGGTAGCTTCTTTATGTCTTTTTGCTCATCTTCCAATGGACTAAAATAATTTATTTTTGTTCTGTCTGTCATTGTTTAAAGGTTGACTTTGTCTTCCGGATTTTAATGGCATATTCTTCTTCTTTTTTTTTAGCCTGCTGGGCTTCTTTTATGAATTTTCATGTAATGTTTTTTGCATTCTTAAGTAGTTGATTTCAAAATGTTTTTTCCTCCAGCTCATTGATTTTTTCAGTACTTCTGGTTTTGTTGGGTTAGCCTGGATTTACTTGTGTTATTTGTTTTACGGAGGGTTCCGCTCCTACTTCGTGTGTGCAGAGTGTGACTGCTTTTTTTTCCGGAGGCGAATATCCTCAGGATATAACTTCCTTTTGGGTCGTCCTTCTGACTCCAAACAGAAAAGTTTATGGCTGGCCATTATGCTATTTTTTCCCTCTGTGAATAATTGAAGGGGAACTTTTTCACACTCCTTGTTCACAAATATAGTGGTCATTTTGTGAGACTGGCTCTGTCTAATCTGAGATTCACTACCTGGAAGTGACTGCAGAAAATGGCTTGACCTGTAACAAAAATGGAACTTGGCATGTTCTGGCCTCACTTTATAAGCAAGAATTGAATTCAATTGTGTCATTTTTCTCCTCTTCCCCATATTCTTCTGTCTTTGACCTGGAAATCTTTCATGGCCAGAATTTTTGAAGAATATTTCAATCCCCAAAAATGCTCAGAGAGGATCGATGAGAGAGATGGCTTTGCCAGAAGAGCAATAAGCAGGAATGCAGTTTTTCGTCACTTGTGACGTCTGAAGAGGGAATGGCACATTCATCCTGCACTTTAAATTGAATTAAAAACAGATATCTACTTTGTCACAAGCAGATTTAATCTCATCTGGCAGAGAAAATTGACTAAAGTGCAAGATCTCGATGAGACAATGTTTGGATCATGCAGCTGAGTCACATCATATTCTATTGACGTCAGTTCAAAATTACACTGATGCAAGGGTGTCTCATTTGGTCCAAATCATGCCACCTCCTTTCATATGTCTGTCTTTGGCTCTTCTTGCAATTGTTGTTGAGGAGTGAAGTAGCATTCTCAAGTATAGGCAGACCAGGAAAAGAGAGACAGGGTGTGTGCTCTGAAAATGATAACTCTTAATATGTAACTATTTATTGGGGTGTTTTTTTTAATCAAAGAGTAACTAAAGAGCAAATAGACATAGGCAGGCAGGTACCAAAAAAGAAGCCAACTTTATTTGAACTCTGATGCAACACATAGTAATTCAAAGGAAACCAAACTCCAAAAACTTTGGAAAGTCGGAAAGAAAGAGTCAAAGACATGTAACACTAAACACGCGGATGAAGTAAAGCAGTGCAACAGGCTAAGTTACAAATTTAAATGAAAACAAGGAGTTCAAAGAGGACTAACATGACAAGGGTGGAAAATAAGAACCACTGAAGTACAACCGTAAATAAGAGAAAGCGAGCAAAGGTGCATATCCTGAAAACACAAATTAGAAATAAAATCAAAGCAGTTAAATAATCTAAATATATGGATCCAATTTTTTTAACCATGTTCATACTCACATTTTTATTCATTTGCACACGTGTTGTGACAGGCAGCTGGAGACAAACACATAGGGCTAAAATGCTCACAGGAAGGCCCCAGTGGATCAGCAGTTAACCACCCACACAAACATTTAGCATGGGCATTAGACAGGTCTTGCATGAGATTCCTTTTAAAAAATCCAAAGAAGTAGCGGCTGAACAATGTGTGCTGACCTTTTCTGAAATTCTGAACAGGCAGGAACAGACTGTGAGAAAGCTGGACAGACATATGAGAATAAAGTGAAACAGCTTGAGAGTAACTGATGACGAAATATGTTCTTTCTCTACTTTTTATGGGAGGATAACGTGGAGATGCGGGACAATGCCGGCTGCTAGATAATATTGCTTCCATCAAGGGGGGAGAGAGAGAGAAAATGTGGACATTAGAAAAAAATAGCAGAGAGGATAATTGGCCTAAGTGAGACAAAAGGGAAGAAGAGCAGAGAGCTAAGGATAAAGAAAGACAATCTGAAAGAGAGCCAGTTAAGAGCACCCAAAGAAACCAAACCCTCTTCCCTCTGATTGCCTCAAGTTACCTCCAAAAAGAAATATTCCGGGGTGTATTGGAAATTAATTGTTGCTGTGTACTAAGATATCAAAGCTAATGATGCTCTATCGGTCATCGTTCTGTGTCCTAAAGAATTGAGAGAGCAGGAAATTTTGACAGGCTGGAGAAACGTCAGCTACTGTCAGCAATATATTGACGGGGGCCTTCAGTTGACAATCCGCCCCGCAGAGCCATGAGTCACATTATCATCCGGCCTGATCTTCTCATGCAAACATTGTGCCTATTTTAGAGCGTTGGGAGCAGGCTTTACTTATGTGTAGCCGGACAGTATTAGCTGCCAGTCTCATCCCTCCATAAACATTTTGATAAGAACGTCTATGCCCCAGTGTATTACGTAACGTGGCATGTCACTGGGCATCCACGTCCGGCTCAACGACATCAGGGAGCGTGCCCTTCTGGTGGCTTCCCTCGCCGGAAACACTCACGCAGCACGAGTGCCGGACATGTGTGCGCGTAACACTGTGTATGGGCTTTACGGGTCGCTGTAACACACTGCAACAGAAATGTGGCGATATTCCTTGCAGCTGGGCAGATTTCACCGCTACTCGCAGACTGGTGTGGTCAATAGATGCAGAAATCCTGTGACCCCTGCTGTCTACTTAAGGAACTACATATAACTTTGCATCATGGTGCCGAAATAGGATTTGAATTCCAGTAAACAGAACAATATTTGAGAGGAAATTGGTGCTGAATTCAATGTAGTATCTGAACGAAAACAAGATACATAACGCAAGTGATAGTGACAGCTTAAATTTCATTTCGTTCTACTCTAATTAAACAAGATGTTGGTTAGATTCAGGGAGCTCTGCCTTTCTTACTTTATTATATTAGCACCTAACTGTTTTTGTTTGGTGCTCTTGCAGTGAATGCTGGCACACAGAGTAAAGCTTCCTGAAGCAGAATAGATGTAATCAGACACAGGGGATGCAGGAGGAGGTGGTGTGTGTGGGCAGGGAGGGTCGGGATGACACTCTGCATCATAAAAAGGTTCTTCCCATCTTAAGGATTCTCTGCACGGACACTACATATTACCTTTCTCATCTGCTGTCACTCAAATTCCCATTTGGCCCGTGGCATACTAAAGGAAATCTTGTCGCTTACCCACGTTTCTCAACAACTCTTGACTGAAGAAGGTTTTTTAAAAAAATCTCAGTTGAAGTGCCCATTATACAGATGGAGATATTCTCTCATCCTTCATCTTAAAAATGTGCAACCGGCTGTCAGCCATTATTCATCTGTGCTGGGAAATCCGCTGGTTGGAGATATATGATGAGAAATATTGTAGAAATGATCATTTTCTTTGTTCCGTGGGTGCTCATAAAATGTTTAGTTTCTGTCTCTCTTTGGGCCTTTCGAAGACCACTTGTCCACAGTATTGGAGACATGGGTGGCTATCGTTGGACTCGTATCAGTGGAGTGATTATGAAGGGTAATTACAGGATGACTTGGGAGAGGGGTTATCACTGGTGTCATTTCAGAGGTTGAGCTGAAGGATGTCTTGCTGGAGTGAAGGCTTCTCTTTCAAGAAGGACACAAGTGTCAGATCCTGAGATGTTTTGACTCAAGCCCGTGTCATGCCAGTTTTTCTAGCTTTTGGTCCTTGGAGGAAAGCAAGTGTCTCGATTTCTCTTTTTTTTTTCTCGAGATCTACTTTATTACCAAACAACCTCTCTGTCCTCTCTGAGTGATCCTCTGCTCCTCTCCGTCTCTCACACTTCCCACCCCTCTTTCTCTCTGGCCTGATTAATAATGAATGAAGCGGATCATCTATCGATCCCATCCTCTGTGTTAGCACTGAGGAAGATATCAAACCTGTTAGGGGATCTTTAAATAGATTTGCAATGTGTGGCCAATGGCTGGTGCTTGTCGAGTTAAAGGTAGGGGTTTATTTTTATGCAGAGGGAAGACAGCAGTCATATGACCCTGGCGAGGGGGCACAAAGTCCCATAATGCCTTCTCAGCAGAAGAAGGATGCCCCCCCTCTGAAGGAGAAAGGTGGTGATCTGTGATAAGTGCGGAACTGGAGGTCTCCCACACCTTCTCAATCTCCCTCTGGCTCTATATTAAAGCCTGTCTATGCCACACTTTGATCCTCCGGCCCTCTTCTGTTGTTGAAATCTCAGAGAATTTCTGCCATTTCTGCCCTGCTGCTCTCACTTAATCAATCCAGCAGATTGGCTCTGCTCTCTGACAGTGGAAGGACCCTGTCGAAACCCTGATGGAGACTGAGAGAGATGTATATCCGTCGCTGTTGGTTAGCATCACCGGTCAACATTATGCAGGGCTCAGTAGTCTTTATGTTGAGGACGGAGTGGGAGGGGGGAGTGCCGCTGGAACATGATCATTTACAATGAGTGGCTTAACTGCTGGATTTGATCCAAGGCCCGCTAATTTGATTTTACTCTGTCCATTCAGATTTAGCCAGTCGCAGACAACTGACAGAACATGAGAGTGGCGAGTACTACATGAGTTATTTTTCGTTCTACGGAGGACAGGTTTTAATCATGTTAAGTTTGACAGTGGGCGGCGCATCTGCCTAATTTGAACTGCTGATGGGCGTGAGCGTGCACGCTGCCCTGCAGGTTAATCTCATGATGGATCGCTGGCATGTCTTGGATGTAAACTAGCTTAAGTGAAATGGCAGCTTGCGTAGAAACCAACCCCCAACCCTGAATGCAGATGGATGGAACTTTGATAGTATACCCACAATCTAGAACATGTGAAAGTGTCTTTTTAGTTTTTTGAAGACTTCCTTTAGGAGCAGATAAGGGAGTGGAGCAACAGACTCACTTGACTTGGCTTAGCTCGTCAGAACTCAATAATCGAAGCACAATAAAACCGAATGAAAAATCTTGCAGTAAATACCTGAAAAACTCACGTTGAGACACACACCAAAATGAGGTTATCACATGCCAGATTGATTGGAAATATTCATAAAAACATACATTTCCTCATCCTCAATTAAACAACAGATGAGTCACTTGTTAAACATATTAATTTGTTCAAATAATGTAGTCATGCAAGGGCTGAAACGTACATCAGCCAGTACTGAAGATATCTTAGATTATATTATGATTATAGTATGATTCTCAAGCTGTAGGTCAGATTTAGTCATTTGTAATAAATATTTTTTTAAATAAATGTAGCAGTGTTTTCACATGTCATATCTTCTATGTATGTTTTCTCCTTTGATAATGAGTTATGTTTCCATGCTAATTCTCCTGTGATGTTTCACGTGTGTTTGTATCCCTTTCCTGCTGTTCTCAAAGGACTATTGTGTTAAAAATTTCAAAGTAACACATCCACATGCAATTCTATCAATCCTCTCCCTCAGGGACAGAGTTACTTAATTATATGTACATTGTTGTACGTGCACTTCCTTTTTTTTTTTTTTTTACTGTATGATTACCAACACCAGAGCTCATCTTCAAAGAGAATTACTGCCGTTTTTTCATGACATTTGCTCTTCTTTTCATTGTGCTTTGTTTGCTAACGTTAAAACGCATCTTCCTCTTTCAAACATTTCTTTGCAGGAGCACTTTACTCCAGAGTGTAAGTTCAAGGAGAGCGTATTTGAGAACTACTACGTTACATACTCATCCATGCTCTACCGTCAGACTCAGTCTGGCCGCTCCTGGTATATTGGTATCAACCGCGATGGTCAGATCATGAAGGGGAACCGGGTAAAGAAGACCAAGGGAGCTGCTCATTTCCTGCCAAAAGTTATAGAAGGTTTGACTTTTTTTTGTCACTTCAGCATATTGTTTCTCTGAGATATTAATCATCTACCTAATAGTCAAACACCTATATATTTGTCACACAGTTGCGATGTACAAGGAGCCATCGCTACATGAGCTGGCCGGTGAACCGGTGAGTCCTCCCCGGAAGACCGTGAAGACGTCGGATTCTCCGAGTCTACAGAATGGACAGAAAGAGGCTCCCAAGGCTGAAGCATCATAGCACAGGAGACTGAGGGAGGGACAAAGGGCAGCAGAGACTCCGGGAACACGGTTACCCATAATGCACTGAGCACGGCAGAGGGACTGGCCCCTCGCTGGCCACCGTTTTCCAAGAGGATACCCTCAAAATGCTGAGGGATAAAGGTTCACCAGTCCACCATCAGCCTACGATATCCAAGAGAGGAGTCACCCCACCACCACACACACACACACACACACACACACACACACACACACACACACAC